CTCTGGTGTGTTTCACACATTTGCCCCATACAAGGGTCTCATTCCAGTTTCCCATTTTTCTTCTTCCTCCTCCAGAGTTAGGAGAGAGCATTTTGCTTGCAAGGAGGACTCATTATAGGAGTCACAGGTGTTGGGTGGGATCAGGGCCAGATTTAGGTTTGATGAGGCTCTAAGTTCCTGAAGGTAATGGGGCCCTTTATAAGTCCAGCTGTCCTTTGTCAACAACAAATTGTCACTGTTCTTTGTGTTGAATATATGCTATACAGTGGTACCTCGGGTTACAGACCCTTCAGATTACAGGCGCTTCAGGTTACAGACTCCGCTATCCCAGAAATAGTACCTCAGGTTAAGAAATTTGCTTCAGGATGAGAACAGAAATCACGCAGCGGGAGGCCCCATTAGCTAAAGTGGTACCTCAGGTTAAGAACAGTTTCAGGTTAAGAACGGACCTCCAGAACGAATTAAGTTCTTAACCAGAGGTACCACTGTATGGTAGTTCATGGACTTCATATGTATCTAAAGCCATTTGCACATAACGAATAGGGAGCCTACACAACACAAAACACTATTGCTGTATGTAGGTTTTATTTCATTTGTTTTTTATCTTGTATTTTGGAAATGCACATCCAGTTTGTTTTCCTTTAAAAAAATTGGGGGGAGGGGCAAGAGAGTGTAGCCCTAAACTGTAGCTTGTTTAGCTTATACATAAATCCCACCGTAGGATGATAAAGAGTAAGCAAGCAGAACGTGGACCTGAAGCATTGATAGTATAAGCCAGCCATTTCCTCACTCCCTGACTACGTGGTTTCCTTTTCGTTTTAAAGCTGCTCTCAGCCTTGCTGCAATGACCAAGTTCATCCTCTTAGAAGGAATCCTCGCAGGAACTGTGGGGTAAGTGGCCTTATAAAGTGCCCTTTGCACCAGAAAAGCTGTAACCTAAAACTGTAGTTTCTGTCAGGGGCTGGGCAGAGGAGGAATGGTGGAGGCCATCTCCCCAGCCTGACCCTTCCAGAGAAGAAGAAGACAGGTCAGAATTACAGCAGGGATTTGAGGGAGGTCACAGCTCAGAGGCAGAGGTGTGGTAGGAATTTTGAGGTCTTAGATATATGCTAAATGTTCATAAGTGTACCAACCAAGCACATACATAGATCAGCACAGGAAAACCATTTTTGGTTCCCAAACTGACCAGGTGTTTTCTCTGCAAGGAGGGAGGGGGTCAGGGAGCCTTCCCATTGTCTCAGGAATTGAGTAATCGGCATTTTAATGGGTGACAGACTATATGGAAAGGCAACCAGATAACCTGGCAGACAGGAAAAACGACAACACCTTTTCTGTGATGTAGATATGATGTTTGTGGGGGGTGTCTTGGGTTACACCCCTTCTGTGATGTATGTATGATGTATGGAAGGGTGGTCTTGAGCTCCAGGGCAGGGAATTTAAAATGTCTATACAGTGGTACCTCTGGATGCAAACGGGATCAGTTCTGGAGCCCCGTTCGCCTCCTGAAGCGAACACAACCCCGGACGTTTAACGGTCTATTGATTCCTGTGCCACCACTTCCCCGCTGCCACCAACCAGTTACTCTCTGGTAAAACACTGAGTCCAGACAGTTGTTAAAAGTGAACCAAAAAACCGTTTATTTTACAAGCATTAACAAGTTTATGGTTTCTCAGATAATATTCCTCTTAACTTTAGTATCTTTATCTTTCTAATACCTTCTGACTGATTATCTCAACTGTTTGACCAACTCCTCTTAACATATTCTCTCTCTCTCACACACACCAGACTAGCCCAACCCACTGACTTATCTTATCTGTCTCTTCCCACTCCAGACTGTCTTCTCTACAACTCTAACCCCCTAAAATACCGTATTTTTCGCTCTATAACACGCACCAGACCATAACACGCACGTAGTTTTTAGAGGAAGAAAACAAGGGAAAAAATATTCTAAACGAAACAGTGGATATATGATTTTTGTGGTTCATGCTGTGGCCACGGACATGTGATCTGACAGTGAGTTTGGAGTAGCCCAGTGCAAAATCCTGAGGATCCATGTGGATCCATGCTTTGTAACCACGTTTTTGCACCACTGCGGCCCCAGGCAACAGTGGGTGCGTGATTTTTTTGGTGCAAGATGTAGCCATGGACATGCTAGGTCATCTGATGGTGAATTTGGGGTGACCCAGTGCAAAAATCCTGAGGATCCATGTGGATCCGTGCTTTGTAACCACGTTTTAAGTGGGGAAGGAAGGAAAAGCACTCAAGGGACAAGGAACACGCGTGGGGTGGGTGGAGAAGGATGCTGCTAATAATGAAGAAGAGGGGTATAAGGGGAGAAGGCTCCTCTCCCCTCCCGCTTTGCTCCTTTAAAGAAGCAGGCTCTCTGTCCCTCTCTCCTCCCCACTCCGCGGCTCTTCTCCCGCTTTGCTGTTTCAAAGCGAGCCACGGAGGAGGGAAGGAAGGGGAACCATGGATCCTCTGCTCACGACTGCAGCAGATCCCCACCACCACCCGTAGGCATTCGCTCCATAACACGCACAGACATTTCCCCTTACTTTCTAGGAGGAAAAAAGTGAGTGTTATGGTGCAAAAAATACGGTACCTCTGTGCTTAAACCTTATACACAGTTAACTCTGCCCCCTGGGTCCCCATTGGTTAGTCATTTTACAATTAGTTAACCCTTTCCCTATGAACCCAGTATGATGTCACACACCTAGGAGGGCAAACGCCACACCTGGCGGCACTCAGCACAGGGCCTGCAGTGCACCTGAGCCACGCGTCTCTCCTGGGAGTAACGCAGTGGCTTGAGCACTCGCAGGCTCCCCGCTGCCCCAAATGGTCCACCCGCCGCCCGCCCCTCAGCTGTAGGGTGGCTGAGTGGGAGGAGGCAGGCAGACTCCTTGGAGGCCCCGCGGGCGGCTGGGGTGGCTGGCCCCGCCCCCTGCCCAGGGTGTGCACGCCGCCCAGGCACCCGATTGGCTTGCTCCGCCGCTGGACTCATGAGGAAGTGGGAGAGATGGAGCGGGCAGAGATTCACTCGGGGCAATGCTGTTACAGTGGTACCTCGGGTTAAGTACAGTGGTACCTTGGGTTACATACACTTCAGGTTACATACGCTTTAGGTTACAGACTCCGCTAACCCAGAAATAGTACCTCAGGTTAAGAACTTTGCTTCAGGATGAGAACAGAAATCGTGCAGCAGCGGCAGCAGGAGGCCCCATTAGTTAAAGTGGTGCTTCAGGTTAAGAACAGTTTCAGGTTAAGAACGGACCTCCGGAGCAATTAAGTACTTAACCCGAGGTACCACTGTACTTTTCCTTGTCCTGTCCGTTCCTGGCAACCTGCTGCGGGGGCTGGTTCCTCTGCCGCCTGATAGTTACGTTCTTAACCTAGCACCCTGAACCTACCTTAATTTGATCATGAAGGCTTTCAAAAGCAATAGGACTTGAGTTAGCTTGGTGGGACTATCTTTAGCTTGGGTTGGAGGTCATGGATGCGGCTTGCACAGGGGTCAGCAAACTTTTTCAGCAGGGGCCGGTCCACTGTCCCTCAGACCTTGGGGGGGGGGCAGACTATATTTTGGAGGGGGGAAATGAGCAAATTCCTATGCCCCACAAATAACCCAGAGATGCATTTTAAATAAAAGGGCACATTCTACTCATGTAAAAACACGCTGATTCCTGGACCATCCGTGGGCTGGATTTAGAAGGCGATTGGGCTGAATCCGGCCCCTGGGCCTTAGTTTGCCTACCCACTGTCTTGCAACTTGACCGCAAGTGTCGGTTCAGTCGCTTATCTTGCTCTATCTGTTAACTTGGCTGCCACATAGCAACTGTGGAACAAGTCTTAGTTGTGAGCAAAGGTGGAATTAGAAGAACCAATCAAACTTGGGAAGAGAGTTCTGGGATGTTGGGAAGCAGAGAAAAGTTTGCAATTTCTTCTGTGGTCAACATCTTAGCTTCACCTTTCCAGACACTTTTTTTTTTTACAGTGTGTGTGTGCGTGTGTGTGTGTGTGCGTGTGCAATAACTTACCTTTTCCTTTCTTTTTAGATTCTATTCTTGCTGCTTGTAATAAGCATTTTTCTACAGTTTATGCCTGGACTAATCTTCCATCTGGATTTTCCTGGATTGTATATCCTGGCAGCCCAACTGGTCTCTAGTAATGTGAATCTAAAACCACGGACGTTTATGCCTCCCGGAATTTCACTTTGGGTAGTTGGTCTTCTTCTAAAGGACTGTGTAGTTAGGACAGCGTTGCTAATGTAGTAAACTTTTGACTAGAGGCATTCTGGGCTTTAGGTGCCCCAACACAGCATTTAAAGGTAAAGGTAAAGGTACCCCTGCCCGTACGGGCCAGTCTTGACAGACTCTAGGGTTGTGCGCTCATCTCACTCTATAGGCCGGGAGCCAGCGCTGTCCGCAGACACTTCCGGGTCACGTGGCCAGCGTGACAAGCTGCATCTGGCGAGCCAGCGCAGCACACGGAACGCCGTTTACCTTCCCGCTGGTAAGCGGTCCCTATTTATCTACTTGCACCCGGGGGTGCTTTCAAACTGCTAGGTTGGCAGGCGCTGGGACCGAACGACGGGAGCACACCCCGCCGCGGGGATTCGAACCGCCGATCACATGGTCCTAGGCGCTGAGGTTTTACCCACAGCGCCACCCGCGTCCCTAACACAGCATTTAGCAGCTGTTAATTTGTAGTTAATTTAATCTTGCCTATTGTTCTGCATAGAGTTAAGTTTAAAAGTTCCATCTTCATATTCTGTTTTGTTTTCCATGTAAACAACATTTGCCCAAGATTCATTCATGCATAATATGATGTTGATTCACCTATTATTTTGACGCTCATATCGTTCATGCATTTGCTGGACTCCTGCTGGTGTATTTTTGAAAAAATAAATTCCATACAGATTTTAGCCTCTTGCAATAACACCCCCCCTCTTGCACATTAGGGAAAATTAAGAAATATAAATTATCTTGCCCCCACCATATGAAAGCCAGTGTGACTTGGTGGTTAGAGTGCTGGACCGGGACCCAGGAGACTAGGGTTCAAATTCCTGCTTGGCCACAAAGCTCACCTTGGTCACAGTCTCTCAGCTTGGCCTACCTCACAGGGTTATTGTGTGGGTAAGATGGGAAGGAGAGAACTGTGTATATATCACCGTGGAAGAAAGACAGGATGTAAATGTAATAATACATATATCTGCAGTGACAGTGGGGCCTTTCTCGTCGTGGCCCCAGAGCTGTAGAACTCCTCCCCAAGGGTAGGCCACCTTACTCATTCCTTATTGGCTGTTAGATGCCAGGCAGCAGGGACGCGGGTGGCGTTGTGGGTTAAACCACAGAGCCAAGGACTTGCCGATCAGAAGGTCGGCGGTTCGAATCCCCGCGACGGGGTGAGCTCCCATTGCACGGTCCCTGCTCCTGTGAACCTAGCAGTTCGAAAGCACCTCAAAGTGCAAGTAGATAAATAGGTAGTGCTCTGGTGGGAAGGTAAATGGAGTTTCCGTGTGCTGCTCTGGTTCGCCAGAAGCGGCTTAGTCATGCTGGCCACATGACCCTGAAGCTGTACGCCGGCTCCCTTGGCCAGTAAAGTGAGATGAGCGCTGCAACCCCAGAGTCGGCCACGACTTGACCTAATGGTCACGGGTCCCTTTACCTTTACGCCAGGCAACTATCCTCCCAAGGGCTTTTGCCTTGCCCTGATCCATCACCCACCAACGTTTCTATTGCCCTGTGTTCCTAAAGGGAGAAGGGAGCCTATTCATCAAGGAGTTCAGTTACTGTGGGGCCACCCCTGCAAAGGACCGGTCCTTCTCACCAACCACATTTTCAGCCGAGATGAGCTAGAAAGCAAAACTGGGACATATTCACAGGGGGAAAACCAGGCCCCGTGGGCTAGCACTAGTGGTGGGGAGGCCTTCGCCCCAAATGTGCCCTTTCAGGCTTTCCTATCCAGCCCCTAGGACTCTCCCCAGACTATGACCCCTCCTTCCCAGGTCACACCTCTCACTGTCACCCTCCTTGGCTGCTTTTGTCTGGCTGGAATGTAACCTTGAACTCTTCAGACACCTCTTGGTTGTCTGGATGGACCAACAGGGTGTGTGCATGTCTGTACACACCTCCAATGTTGCTATGGCTGGCCTGTAGCTACTGCACTTGTTTGCTCTGCCCAAGGTGTCCCCCCCCCTTCATTTTATTTTCTCTTTCTTTCTCTCCCCGCTCTTTTCTCATTGTATCAACAAAGCATCAATTAAAAAAATTGTGCAAAAAATTAATATGTGCTGCTTGTGCATTGGAGCTTCTGTGTGTACAAAAATATTCCTGAACTGAGAGGCAAATGGAACCATGGCAGGATCCGGATTAGAAACACAGTGGGGGCAAATGTTTAAAGCTCCCCTCCCCTCTATACCAGCTTCCTGATATGGATCAGCAGCACCAGGCTGACAGGCGAACTAATGCCGGTGTACTGGAAGAAGCGAAGATCACCAGTCTCGAAGCAATGATTCTTCAACATCAGCTGCGTTGGACTGGTCATGTTGTTCGGATGCCTGATTATCATCTTCTGCAACAACTACTCTATTCCGAACTTTAAAATGGAAAGCGTAATGCTGGTGGTTTGACAAAAGAGGTTTAAAGACTGTTTCAAGGCAAATCTAAAAAAAAAGTAGTATAATAATAATAATAATAATAATAATAATTTATTATTTATACCCCGCCCATCTGGCTGAGTTTTCCCAGCCACTCTGGGTGGCTCCCAATCGAATGTTATAAACACCGACAACTGGGAAACACTTGCCTGTGACCGCTCCAATTGGAGAACAGCCTTTGCCAAAGGTGTCATGAGCTTTGAAGATGCTCGAACTCAGGACGCAAGGGAGAAACGTGCTAAGAGGAAGGCACGCTTGGCAAACCCTCACCGGGATCAGCTCCCACCCAGAAACCTATGTCCCCACTGTGGAAGGACGTGTGGATCCAGAATTGGCCTCCACAGTCACTTTCGGACTCACTGTTAAAACTGTGTTAATGGAAGACAATCTTACTCAGCTATGAGTGATTGCCAAAGAAAAAAACCAGGCTGACTACTTACAGAATAATAATAAAAAACCTTGTACTTAAGGTCAAACCTTGTGACTAACATAACATGTGACTAACATAACGTATACTTTAAAATCACTAGTTTCATGCAGGATGTCTCAGTGAACAAGGCTTTATTCCCGGGGACAATCACTATCAAATAGAGAGATGTGACTCTGGTTATACAACTCTGCCAGCTTCTCCTCCAACTGCCCCAGAGTGAGAGTCTGCACTGCGTTTTCGTCATTCCGGGCAATTATGGCCCAAGATCTCAGGTGATTGTTGTCTATGACACAGCAGGCTGCAGACCATACATGGCTGGGCTTGTTGACCCTGCCTTTGGCAATGAAGCTATCCCCTGGCACTGCGCCCACCACGGCAAAGGTTTCCTTGCATCCTTCGGTCTTGCTTGCCATCGTCGACTGCTCATAGTGGTTCCAGGCCCCGCCGTTCAGCTTGATGTATTGCGGCACAATGTTGGTCAACGTGAAGGTGGAAGTCTTGGCGTCCCGGTCGGGCTGGTGGCCATTGGGGTTAAGGTGACCCCTGTTGAAATCGGTTAGGTTCTTGTAATCTAGCAAAACGGCCTGGCTGCCTTTAAGTGCTTCCTGCATGTCATCACCTTCCTGCAGGAGGGATCCTTCCGTTTCCATTTCGGGCGGCAGTGCTAAATCCAAGAGCTTTAGGAAAAAGAGAGACGGGTGCAAGCAAGGAAGAAGAAGAAGAGGAGTTTGGATTTGATATCCTGCTTTATCACTACCTGAAGGAGTCTCAAAGCGGCTAACATTCTCCTTTCCCTTCCTCCCCCACAACAAACACTCTGTGAGGTGAGTGGGGCTGAGATACTTCAGAGAAGTGTGACTGGCCCAAGGTCACCCAGCAGCTGCATGTGGAGGAGCGGGGAAGCGAACCCGGTTCACCAGATTACGAGTCCACTGCTCTTAACCACTACACCACACTGGCTCCCCCTTCTGGATCTAGCCCATCTCCCCATCTTTACTTGGAATGTTTACTTGGAAGCAAGCCCCACCAATGAATCCAAAATTCCTGTGTGGGATTTGATCCCATACCAGTAAATTGAGATTGCCCAATTACTTTGGATTTGGTTCTCTATGCAAGAAACACGCTTCCACCCTCTCCAAGAACATTTTTTGTGGTAAGGAAAGTGCCCTGGAAAGTGAGGGATAACAATTGTTTGATGTGAGTCTATCACTCTTAACCACTACACCACACTGAGAAGACAAAGGGAGTAAATGAGAAGACAAACCTGCCCCCCCCCAGCCGAACACTGCCTTCAACCATCTCGCTAGTCTCTCCCCACTTTCAGCAGTAAGATGTGTTGGGGTGCAATGCCTCCCCAGATCAGGGTTTCCTCAGGAACTTAGGCACTTTGCAATGTCTGAATTCCCTCCCAAATAGGCAGGCTGAATACTACTACTACTACTACTACTACTAATAATAATAATAATAATAAATATATTTATACCCTGCCCATCTAGCTGGGTTTCCCCAGTCACTCTGGGCACCCCCCAACAGAATATTAAAAGCACAATAAAACATCAAACATTAGAAACTTCCCTAAGCAGGTGCCTTCTAAAAGTCAGATACAGTGGTACCTCAGGTTACAGAAGCTTCAGGTTACAGACTCTGCTAGCCCAGAAATAGTACCTCGGGTTAAGAACTTTGCTTCAGGATGAGAACAGAAATTGTGCGGCGGCAGCAGGAGGCCCCATTAGCTGAAGTGGTACCTCACGTTAAGGACAGTTTCAGGTTAAGAACAGACCTCCAGAACGAACTAAGTTCTTAACCTGAGGTACCACTGTAGTTGTTTATTTCCCTGGCATCTGATGGGAGGGCGTTCCACAGGGCGGGTGCCACTACCAAGAAGGCCCTCTGCCTGGTTCCCTGTAACCTCACTTCTCGCAGTGAGGGAACCGCCAGAAGGCAATGGCGTAGCGTGGGGGGTGCAGGGGGGGGCGGCCTCACTGGGCGCAACATCTGGGGGGGGCGCTCACACTCGCAGCTCTCTGCCCCTACCTGGCTCACTCACTCTCTCTCTCGGCAGTGCTGGCTGTGCGAATCCGATCCGAGCCGCTGGGTCGCCGCCCACTGTGTGGGGGGGTGCCAGGCATGCGGGTTAGGGGGCGCAAATTACTTGCCTTGCCCCGGGTGCTGACAACCCATGCTACGCCACTGCCAGAAGGCCCTCGGCGCTGGACCTCAGTGGGGGTCCTGGCTGAACGATGGGGGTGGAGATGCTCCTTCAGATATACTGGGCCGAGGCTTTAAAGGTCAGCACCAACACTTTGAATTACGAGTCCACCGCTCTTAACCACTACACCACAGCTGGCTCCCCAGCTGTGAATTGTGCTGAGAAACATGCTTGAACGCAGGTGGGGACACTGAGTTTAAAGCAGCGGCTCTTGTCTGCTCAGACCTCTTACCTGCGGTTCAATCCTCCATGTGTTCGGCCTCTTCGCCTGCCCAGGGTTGTAGATGTACGCAGAGAACACCGGGATGCGGTTGTCTCGGTCGTACAGCGTGGCAAAACGATACTGGTTTTTGTACCGCTGGCAAATCCGAGCCGGGCGCAGGGAGCCAGCCCGATACTCGGAGGGGTTCCTCTGAAGAAAAACTGGGGGCAGACGTCTTCAAAAGAGGTCACCACCTCGGCGCTCCCTGGCGAGTTCAGCTGGCACACCGCGACGAGGAGGAGAATCGGCAGCATCGTGCAGGCTCCTCAAAACTGAGTGGCTGTTTGGAGAGACGCTTGTTTAAATGCATAGTTTCATTAGCTGGAAACAACCCCTTAGGAGTCTAACACACTAACCTAGGTTTGGGAAACACTTGAAACTCCAGATATCGCTGAACTACAACTCCCATTAGCACCAGCAAGCGCAGCCAACGGCCAGGGCTATCAGAAGTTGTCTTTTCCCCACACCTGCTCTAACCACTAGCCCGCAATGGAGCTCATTTCCTCCCACCTAGGGAGGGAAGGATCTGATAACTTCAAGTCTCTCCATTTCTCCAATCTTAAATTCAGGTCCCCACATTTTCTGCAGGAACTTTAGTGCTAATTTCTCCTAAATAAACACATTTATTTAAGCGTGCATATTTTGCAAGCTGTTTCTTCTAATATAACACATTTTGTGTGTTGTTATCTTCACTTTATGCATTCAGATTTTTAATGCAAACTTTCACATAGGCAGTTTTGGGAACATTGCTTAGCTGGAGCACAGCATTGCAAAATCAGGGGAAATGTGATTTATGAAGGAGAGCTGTGTTCTCTCTGGTTCCCACGGTGTTTCGGGAAGTGCGGCAGAACCAGGTCTAAATGCAAAGTGAGCTGAATTCCGCCCTCCCCACCCTAATCTCCACTGCACATCCCTCTGCTTAGTCAGGTGATTTATTTATTTCTTAAGAACAGAGTGCTCCTCCAGACCCAGAAACCATGCAAAATGCCTCATTTAAAGATCTAATCATCCACCTAGCAACAGCAGCGAGGCTGGAATTCGCCCAGCGCTGGAGAGCTCAATCTCACTTCATTCTCTAAAGGGATGCTGGAATAAGATAGGTCAGTTAGCATTTGCAGAAAGTTACGAAGCGCAAGAGACAACATAGAGGGGTTAAATCTAAAAGATCATTTGCAGTTATTTGGTTTCCATTGGTCAAACTCATTTTACAACAACAGGGAGCAGTCCTTCATTCAGATCTCCACCTAGACATTTTTTGCCTTTAGCTTTAAATCTATAAATTAGCTTTGTTGGCCTTCTATATTGCTGCGTCTGGATAGCTCAGTTGGTTATAGCGTGGCGCTGATAAAACCAAGGTAACAGGTTTGATCCCCATACGGGACACCTGCGTATTCCAGCATTACAGGGGGGTTGAACTATACATAATCCTCAGGGTCCCTTCCAACTCTACAATTCCATTATAGTCGTACCTTGGAAGCCGAACGGAATCCGTTCCAGAAGTCCGTTTGACTTCCAAAACGTTCAGAAACCAAAGCACAGCTTCTGATTGGCTGCAAGAAGTTCCTGCAGCCAATCAGAAGCTGCAGAAGCCACACTGGACATTCGGCTTCTGAAAATCGTTCGAAAACTGGGAACACTCACTTCCGGGTTTTGATTGTTCAGGAGCCAATTTGTTTAGGAGCCAAGGCATTTGAGATCCAAGGTACAACTGTATTCCATTCTATGGTTCTGTTATCTTCTCCATGACTGTTTGACTGTTTCCTTCTTTCTGCTCATTTGCAAGCTGCACCAAGTTTCAAATCAAGCCTGTGTCCTGTTCGTTTTTATGTGGTTTTTTTATCGTAAAAAATTCAGTAAAAATCATCTTTAAAAAACAGGAGAGCGGAAGAAGGAAATTGTTTTAACAGAGAAGAAAATTGCTTTGTGTATATAATTTTTATTAAATTTTCTGTTTTACAGTTTAAAGTACTCATTTTTACATCCTTGAAATATCAATGACTTCCCTTCTTCCCTTTACATGGTTCATTTTACATATCATAAACCCCTGCATATTTTACAGAAACTATACCTTTCAGTATTCCATTGTTACATCCACCATAACTTATTTACACTGTTGAATTTAGCTTAATGCTGCCAGTGTTTTCAGCTATACACAGTTCTTCCCCATATATTCAATAAATGTTTTCCAATCTTCTCTAAACGTATGTTCTTCTTGTTCTCTCATTCTATATGTTAAGTCTGCAAGCTGCGCATATTCTGTCAACTTAAGCTGCCATTCTTCTTTGCTTGGGACCTCGCTCGTTTTCCATTTTTGGGCTAACAAAACATGGGCCACAGTAGTGGCATACATAAATAACCTTTTTTGACACCTGCAAATTTCAGTCTGAATTATCCCCAACAAAAAGGACCCTGGTTTTTGGGGGAGAGTACTTTTAAACATCTTTTTTTCAATTCATTATGGATCATTTCCCAATACTCTTTTACCCGTTTACAAGTCCACCACATATGAAAGAACAGTCCCTACACCTCTTTGCAACTCCAGCAATTATCTAATTCAGTCATATACATCTTAGCAAGCCTATTTGGAGTTAAATGCCATCTGTAAATCATTTTCAAATAGTAATCCTTTACCTTCTGGAAGGCTGACACTTGTATCGGTTGACTTGTTCTCCTCCAGGCAGGGCACAAGAATATAAGCAACGTGCAACCCTGAGATTGACTTCTTAAATACGGTTCCCGAAGGAAAATGATAGCAGGCTATCTAGCCCCTGATTAACTTCCTCCAACTGTTGTTTGAATACAGTTTCCAATCTATGTGGGTGCCCAAATTAGAATGTGCTTTTTCTTCTTCTGATGCAGGGATTTCTCAAGGTTAGGCAACGCTCCTTTTACTGTAAAGGCGTTATCAAACTGCTTGTGGGATAAAACTCCCTGGCCAGCTTCTGTCGCCGATTTTGTGAGAAAGTGCCCAGATGAGTTGAAAGCTGGTGACCAGATATTTATGGCCAGACTCGATTCTTCTCAAGTCTTCCGCCTTATCTTGACCCTGAACGGGTAGGATGACAAGCACAATCAGATACAGTATTTGTCATGGCCAGCTGCAAAAAGGGTGAGGATGCTGAGTGTTTTCTTATTGGTCAGGGCTTTTGGGCAGAGAACAGTGCGTTAGGAGTGGATGTGGGGAAACTCCCATTCTAACACCTTTGCATAGCAACCCATTACCAGGAAAAGACAAAATTATTCTCAGCGCTGTATTTTTCCACGACAGCAAACCAAAGCTTTATAGAATCATAGAGTTGGAAGGGACCCAGGGGTCATCTAGTCCAGCCCCCTGTAGTGCAGGAATCTCAACTGAAGCATCCATGACAGATGGCCATCCAACCTCTGCTGAAAAACATCCAAGGAAGGAGAGTCCTGTTAGGATATCGATGTTCCGTTCCACCTTAAGAACAGGCGTGTGGAATTGTTGTATGTCACATGTCTGTTTACAGTCCAACACAGCTTGCTGGGAACTTCGGTTTGTGTATAGCTTTTGCTTTAGCTGCTTGCTTGGACATGAAAGGGGAGAGTCATGTTTTTCCTTTGTCCTGAATAAACTGCTTGTAAATACGCTTTAAAGGTAAAGGCACCCCTGACCATTAGGTCCAGTCGCGGACGACTCTGGGGTTGCGGCGCTCATCTCACTTTACTTGCTGAGGGAGCCGGCGTACAGCTTCTGGGTCATGTGGCCAGCATGACTAAGCCGCTTCTGGCGAACCAGAGCAGCGCACGGAAACGCCGTTTACCTTCCCACCTATTTATCTACTTGCACTTTGAGCTGCTTTCGAACTGCTAGGTTGGCAGGAGCAGGGACCAAGCAACGGGAGCTCACCCCGTCGCAGGGATTCAAACTGCCAACCTTCTGATCGGCAAGTCCTAGGCTCTGTGGTTTAACCCACAGCGCCACCCGCAAATACACTTTACATATGCCTCTTTCTGCCCTTCCATTGCGAAGAGTTATTTACTCTGCTGATTAGAGTGTGCTCCAGCTCCTGAAGAGTTCTGAAGCTGCAGGTCACTGTTTCATGCTGTGTCAAGGACCGGAGATCGCCCAGCTACCGGCTGGTGGTCTGGAGCCAGCTGGGGGCCTGCAAATTGCCCCCGTTTCCTTGGACGCATCCCGACAAGTCCACCACCTCTCAAGGGAGACCGTTCCCCTGTCGAACAGCTCTTACTGTTAGAAGGTTCTTCCTGATGTTTTGTCGGAATCTCCTTTCTTGTAACTTGAAGCCATGTTCTGAGTCCCACCCTCCAGAGCAGGAGAAAACAAGCTTGCTCCCTCTTCCATGTGAGAGCCCTTGAGATATTTGAAGATGGCTATCATATCTCCTCTCAGTCTCCTTTTTTATCCAGGCTAAACATACCCAGCTCCTTCAACCATTCCTCATAAGGCTTGGTTTTCATCTTGGTTTCCCTCCTCTGCACACATTCCAGCTTGTCAACATCCTTCTTAAATTGTGGTGCCCAGAACTGGACCCAGAATTCCAGGTGTGGTCTGACCAAGGCAGAATAGAGTGGGTCTATTCCTTCCATCGATCGGGACACTTCACTTCTGTTAATGCAGCCCACAAATCCTCAAGAGCTTTTTAAAAAATACAGCCTTTGTAGCTGTGGCTGCTCATTTGCGTGCCTTCGCTACCATTAAACACACACGTCACTGGCAAGACTGCCAATTGATTAAAAAAACCCGAAAACCAAGCAGGTGGCGCTTTTCATGGAATCGGGGAAAGCATCATTCTCTTCAGTTTGGTTTCCAGAAGAATCAAGCAGGAGTCGGACTCAGAAGTGGACAATAGTTGCCAACCTTAATCATAGGAAAATACAAAGCAACCTTATAGAAGAAGAAGAAGAAGGAGAAGAAGAAGAAGAAGAAGAAGAAGAAGAAGAAGAAGAAGAATTTATTTATACTAACCGAATATTAAAAACACAATACAGCATCAAACATTAAAAACTTTCCTAAACAGGGCTGCCTTCAGATGTATTTTAAAAGCCAGATAATTGTTTATTTCTTTTACATCTGTTGGGAGGGCGTTCCACAGGGCAGGCGCCACCACCGAGAAGGCCCTCTGCCTGGTTCCCTGTAACCTCACTTCTCGCAGGGAGGGAACCGCCAGAAGGGCCTCAGGCCTGGACCAGAACGATGGGGGTGGAGACGCTCCTTCAGGTATACTGGACCGAGGCCATTTAGGGCTTTAAAGGTCAGCACCAACACTTT